ATGCCCATCAGTTAATGAATGAAAAATGAAAATGTGGTACATTTATCCATTGAATAGTATCCAATTATAAAGAAAAATGAAATTATGACATTTCAGGTAAATGGCTGGAGCTGGAACTAATAATGATTCTGGGTGAGATAACCCATTTTCAGATATTCATGTTGAAATTGGAGTTTCTCTATAAGTCAGGAATGTAGTAAGGGACCATATTGTGGGGGTAAGGTCTCAAGAGAAATGGGAAGAACACAAGTGAAAGGGGGATTAATGGAACAGCAAGGGCTAAAAGGGATGGGGGATAGAAAGACAGGGCAGAGAAAGGGATTAGGAGAGGATAACTAACCCAAAAGCCTTTTGGAAAGTCATATGAAAACTCACTACTGTAAAAGTTTTCTATGATATGTACCTATATAAAGAGACTTTAAATAGAGCTACCCTATATATAACAGCGTGTCTTAGTAAGGGTTACTATTGCTGTGATAAAACAGCATGAGCAAAAGTGACTTGGGAAGAAAAGGGTTTATTTCACTCATATTACAGTTGGATCATTAGAAGCAATGAAGACAGGAATTCAAACAGGGTAGGAACCTGGATGCAGAGGTCTTGGAGGGGTATGGTTGACTGGCTTGCTTCAGATGACTTGCTCAGCCTGTTTTCTTATAGAGCCTAGGACCATCAGCCCAGGGTTGGCACCACTCACAATGAAATGGGTCATCCCCATTATTCACTACAGGCTTACCTACAACCTCATTTTCTGGAGGTATTTTCTCAGTTGCGGCTCCCCTTCCCTCTGATTACTTTAGTTTGTGCCCAGTTGATATAAAACTAGCCAGCACACAGGGTGACAATTCTTCCACAATACCACAGGCTAAGATATACAAAGCCCAATTCCAGGAAGGAGTTATCTCTTTTGGATTTATTAGTTAGTTAACACTTATAGATCTCCAAACATTATAAGGTATTGTCGTTGCTCTTAGTTATTGTCTCGAACTTGGTGACAATACCTTATTGTTGAAGATACCATATATTTGAGTCACAGGGCATGGAGAAAGCAAGCTGGTATTGACATGGGTATTTTATCCCTAATAGCATTCACATTGCTGGAGGGTTCAATGTACACTACTTAGGGAGAAAAATAATCAATACTTTTACCCAGCTTTGAACACCGTGAAGCATAATAACAACTGGCCTGGCAAAACACTCCCACTGGTGTAAAGAGTGGCACAAATGTTATGGGAGTAACCAGCTACTTTCTGATTGTATTTAAAGCCTGCTTGACAATGATATAGTATCCATTAACCGAGCCAAAGTCTATGGCTGGCTAGGTCATAGGTCCTTGGGAGAGAATCTAATATATTATTCTGCTAAACTGATAAAGTAAATGGCCTCCTAAGTCTTATCTATATCCGTAGTGCATCTTTTAACCTTCACCAGAAAAGCTTCTTTCTGCAGTAGGTTGTGATCAATACAAAGACTCACTACTGGTCCACATACAGAGAATAAGATACTGTGAAGTACTCAGTCCTAAATGGGATGTATGCACCACACTCTTGCAAGGCTCCCGGATCATCTCAGAAGAGGACGCAGAAGGACTGTAAGAGCCTGTGGCAGTTGATGTCTGTGGTGAAAAAGTTTATGTGAGACATGACAATGCTGTTACACACATGAACTCACTGCAGTTGTGGCTACACGCACAAAATCAAGTGAGTCAAAATTCCAGCATTGGTGAGGGAGGACCCATCCCCAGCTGAAGTGCTCTTGCAGTTGGTGACTTCTTGTAGCAGGCTTTTTTGGATTGTCATCCCCCAAATCATGACTTATTAGCACAGAGACTTATTAGCTATGAATGCTCATTCTTAGCTTAGGCTTGTTTCTAGCTAGCTATTTTAACTTAAATTAACCCATTTGTATTAATCTATGCACTACCCCAAGGCTCATTTACCTCATCTACATACATTTTATCCTGCTTTCCTGCTTCTTCTACACCTGGCTGACTGGGCTCTGGCTGCCTGATTGGCTTCCCTTTTCTCTCTACCCTCCAGACCCTCCTCTGCCTAGCTAATGGCTGTTCATCTTTTAATTAGACCAATCATGTGCCTTAAGCAGGCAAGGTGAAGCATCACACAATGTTACATAGTTAAAGAAATGCAGCATAAACAAAAGCAACACATCTTTATGTATTTAAACAAATGTAGGATAAATAAATGCAACACATCTTTACATAGTTAAACAGTGTTTCTGCAACACAAACAAATGGAGTACAAATTTACATAATATTCCATTCCACAACAACTTCTGTGAGAGGTAGAATCAGGTTTCTTCAGGGATACAGTCCCTGAGAGACTGCCCATCCTCCAGTAAATGGGCCTTCATCCACTCACATACATGAATCTCAAAATGGAGTCAATGGGGAATTGAGGGAAGGAAGAAGGAGGAGAAGGAGAGATCACATGAATTTGGAAGAGAAAAATGGAAGTGAAAAGTGAAGTGGAAGGAATGGAAATGGGTGGATCTTATCAAAACACATTACATACATGTATCAAATTCTCAAATAATAACAAACACATAAAAAGGAATGCCTTCCCTTTCATCTTCCAAATCTCTAAAATGTAGACTTGCACGCAGGCTATGAGTTGGGGAATCTAGGAACTGTGCTTTGTAAACTTCCTACCTCCATAACACTGAGAAGTGAAACAGAAGATGCTGTAAATGGGAGCCCCTAAACAAGTTTTGCTACGGCTCATCTATTCATAGAGATCTATAATATGATAACTTATTCCACAAAGGATTTTTTTGTGGTTGAAAGTAGGTCACTGTGAAATACTTCTTTGTGGTTTCTGGTTCTCTAAGCCTTGACTATCTGGTGGTATTATTATTATATACATGACAAAAGTGCCTTCCACAAAGGATTTGCAAGTCCAGATCAGCTAAGATATTTGACCTAGGCATCAAGAAATGCAAACATTGCACCAGACAATTAGTATTAAGTGCTGTGGGCAGTGGTGTTATAGTGCTCGGGAAATATGGAGTTCCTCAGGGAGCTGAGGCTTCCTCTCTCTGGATCCATAAAATAGTAAGAACTGAGAATGTTGGCCTGACTGTTGACATGTTTTATTGTAGAAAAGATCAACCATGCAGGTTATATTTGATCATGAGACATATACTTCCATTTTTGTCCAGGGAAGTTGTCAGTTACATGCTAGACAACCATATATTTCCAGACTTTGTACAAGTCATTGAGTTCTTCAAATCTGGCCCAGAAACGCAGGTATATGAAACTAAAGAAATTTCTCCTAAGGGGAAATATAGCTCATTCTAAGGACCTTGGAATTTATGGTTTGGGGGTTATTTTCTCATTGTTTTTGAGCCACGAAAACCATTAAAATTCCTGCCTTTGAAAGTTTAGGGCTGGAAATAATGGCATTTTCATAAGCACATGGGGATAGTTAAAGTGAACTACACTGATAGGATTGGTCTAGGGGAAAGTGTGGAGAAAAGGATGTAATCTGAATCCCCAAGGCACACTTATGTCTACATGGCAGACTGATGAGAAGCTGTGTCCAGAGACTGATCAGAACAGAAGAAAAACCAAGGAAGCCAGTGTGGACAAAACGCTTATGGGATGGGTTGTTGCCAGTTCATGCTGAATACTCTGGACTATAAAACAAGGGTGCCAAGAGGAGTGTGTGTGTGTGTGTGTGTGTGTGTGTGTGTGTGTGCATGTGTGTGTGTGTGCACTGCTCATGGTGTTGTTTCCATTAAAATCTCAGGAACGAAAGATTCACATGGAATTTTGTCATTTCCTTGAGATAGACTTGGAACAGTGGAATGATTGGATCCAGTGATCTAACGGCAGGCTTTTTCTATATGCATCTAGGTTGCATTCATAGGTTTCATGTTCACTATTTGACACGGAACAAAGAAAAGTCTGTAACTTTGCACAACCTGGGTATTCCAGGTTGAGGAGATCTGCAGCTGCGCAGAACAAAGGGATGGCCTTCTCTGGCTGGCCAATGCTCTCCAAATGGTCACATTTCAGTTGACCTCCTCTCCTTGCTGTTTATTTCCATACTCTCCATCTCTTATTAAGAACACCAGTGAAACAGGGGCCGTTATTATGAGCTCCCTCTACAGAGAGGTTGGAGGAAACTCCTAGGAGAGATGTTTCTTTTCAAGTTCAGTGGAAGGTATCTGGGAAGTAAATGTGTGGCTAAAATGGCCCAAAGTTAAGGGTTGGTGACCAGACTGAAGTACCTAAATGTAGCATTGCTGTGTTCAAGTCTGAGATTTACTTACTGCTTCAAGTGTTAAGGATCTACTACTTCTGGAAACTCAGTATCTAGAATCTCAAAATGACTTGCCTTTAACATCCAATTGACTTCATTGCAAATAATACTGTTTTTTCCCCACTCGGAGTTTATAGACTTTGACAGTAAGGGGGAACTGAATAGACACCCAGTCCTCAGTTTCAGCCTTCATTTCCTACAGATATCCCAAGGCAGCTGTCTATTTCTTTTGTCATTAAGATAAGACATTTATTTCCCTTCTTGGCCTCCACCCACTTTCATTACAGCAGATGGACCTGTTTCAGGTACTGCAAACACTAGGTTCTACTGGGTTGTCTTTGTCTACTGGAGGAACTGAGGGTTGAGTCTGAGTCACATACATTTTACAGCATCTGCTCTGGCTTGAGCTTCATATACATTGGCATCGTCTCAGAGTGAAGTTGACTCTCTTTTCTTTCATTGGAAATTTTCAGATGGCCCTGTGTGATTCCAAAAACAGTCTGAGGTTCATTTTGATTGGCTGAAAGACTTTAGCAATCACAGCCTAGCCAGGTTCACTCTGAGAGGTTCCTGTGCCTTCATGAATGGCCCCAGAAGCTTCTGCTCTTGGTTCCGCATTCTAATTGCATGGATTATGCCAAAGCAATGCTTGGAAACAATGCATCCATACTGTGTGGCTTTTCTTGCTGCAGTTTCTGTTCTCTTTTTTTATTGTAGGATCTGGAGACTCACCACTAGAAGATGATGGAGTCTGGTACTCACACTCTCTATATAAAGGTGAATGCTTTGCTTGTGTGCTGACGAGGACCTGCTGAGGTCAGGAGAATTTTTCTTTAAGGCTGTGCAGAGCAGACCATAAGAAAGTGACCAGACAACACATTGCAGTTCTGATTCTCTGTCCAGGAAGATAAATATTTACAAGTAAATGTGCATAGGCACTCATCCTTCCGAATGGGAAGCAAAGGGAAGAAAAAGAAATCCCAGGAGTGCTGCCTTTCAGCATCCCGTGCTCATTTTAGTCTCCTAAATCTCTTTGCTGTCCTCACTTCTGCAAAGGCAAGCTGGAGCTGATGAAAGTGAAAATCAAGCCTGATTCATACATTACAGCTACAACTGTCCAGAGAAAGCCTCCCAAGGGCAACTCTGCACCCAGTGCTGCTAATGTATAGACCGAATCGAGAATGAGAAACTTGATTTTCATGAGTTCATCTCATGCTCTCTCTGAGCCCTGTGTGGCCCCTAAAATGATAAGTAAAGTGTGTCATTGCTCAAATGAATGTTAACTTAATGATAAGAAATCCAGCTCTACACATTTCCATCAGTAGCCACTCCCAGCAGGTCTAGAAAGCCTAGTCAAGGACCTTCTCTACTGACTCAGGTAAGTATATCCACAAATACTCCTGCAAATACTTCTGTTGCTGCTTCCATGAAGTCAGGGAGCTCAGGGTGGAAATGAAGGTAAACTTAAATGCTTTTTTCTTTTTCCTGAAATTGCTCCTTCCTATTGTAAAGGGAAACTCTGAAGGAAATAGGCTGGTAAAGTTTCATTTTGACATTTGGCCCAAGAATGCATTCATACGCTAGCAAGAAAATACTAGACTAGACTGTTGTGAACTTTCTCAGCTAGCAGGGAATTGAAATAGTTCAGTTAGCCTTTGCCTAAAGACTGTTCTCCAGTTTTCCAGAGAAGTGGGAAGTCTTTGTAAACAATGACTGGTGCCTATGCCCAGGTGTTTTTCCATGTTTGCTAGGTGTTTTTCCATGTTTGCTTTGATTTCTAAACACAAAAACTCACTTGTCAAATACTGTCTCTCTTCATTGTCTTGGGCATTAAGTAAGCCAAGCAAGCACAATTTTTAGTCAGATGTTTGTAGTAAGGAGATACTCTGATACAGAAATCTTCCAGAAAGGTTTTTTTTTTTTTTTTTTTTTTTTTTTGTGAAAGCGTTTTGAGTCCCTAGTTGAAAAACTTTCTTCGAACTTATGCAATATAGAGAGACTCTCTACTTATATAGTAGGGGTTGTCTTTAGGGCATTGTGCTCAGTGTCTACCCTTACCTCATGGTAGATCATAGACCTTCCCTTGATGTCTAAGAAGTCTAAGACTAAATCTTCTCATGATTAATTATTTTTGTTGTCAGTTCAATAGCTTGCTGGCAGCAATCATCACAATATACATTTCATATGCACACACACACACACACACACACACACACACACCAAGCCATGTTAACTACCTTCAGTTTTCACAGTAGAGAGTTAAGGATTTTCATTTTTAATACTACTGTAATGATGAGTATTGAACTTCAGGCTTCATTCATGCTAGGCAACTGCTCTATTCAAGAGTTATAGCTCAGCTTTTAAATGTCAATAATGTTAAAAGTTAGAGGTCACTCACGATTAACTGTGAGGTTAGCTATGGAATATTAAGCTCCTCAGTGTCTGGCACAAAGTAGAAACTCAATAACTGTTTTGAATTAAATCAAATTTAAGGGAAGAGAGAAAGATTAAGTAGCATGCATTGGGTTCCCAGGATGTGACAGTCTATTTATTGATTTGTTTTTCTTTATTTACTTACTTGAGTGCTGTGGATAGAATTTGGGCTTAACGATTTTATTTGAGATAACCATAACATATTCACACTAATTGAGGGAAGGAGACGGTACATGGGGATGTGTCAGTATTATCTATCCCCTGTTTATAGAAGAGGAAACCAGGGGTTATAGAGAGTAGTAGGAAATGAGTCCTGTCACTCAGCTGACCAATGCTGCACTTGAATCTGAACAGGTGTTTCGGCTCACATCCGTAATGCACTAGTAGTTCCTCATGAGTCTGCTGCCACATGCTGCCTACTCCACAGACTCCATTTGATTCAAGTGCCTAGCACCTTGGTCCAGTGGGATGCAAAGGCTTTCCTGGTTAATTAGTTTGGATGTCTGCTTGGTAAACCCTGTCTTAACTCCAACAACACATGATCTTCTTTCTTCTAAACCTTTATGTTAAACATTTTGTTAATTCACTTGGACTACCGCATGGTGCTTATATGCACTTTAACTGCAAATCATTTACTCACATTCCTATTGTTGGTATTAAACTGTCAAAACACCTTCCAAAGATTTGACTTGGAAAGTAATAAAAACCAAAATGCCTTTTGCAAATAAATGAATCCAAGATATTTTTTCCTCCACATGGTAACAGCAGCCCAACTTTTGGCTATGTGGTCAGAATTGATGGAAGAATTTGAGGAGCCAAAATAAGGGAGAAAAAAATCTGCTAATTTCATGCTGCATCCAAATATGTAAATTTGTGATATACAAAAGCACACACAGATCATACTCACATAGAACATAAATATACATAGTAAATGAATACTGCTTGTATAACTTCTTCCAGAAAGAAAGAGTTCCAGGAAGGTTTGTAGGCTTGGTGTGGGCTCTTTACATCTATATCCACATGGTGGAAGTGAATAAACTCTAGAGTAAGCTCTCGTCAATCTACCTAGACCATCTAGGGACTGTTACTTGAATCCTGAGTTTCAGACCCAGTAGCAACTTTCTGAAAACCATTACATGACAAAAAAATATCAGTGAAAGGGAACCTGAAAGCATCAGAGTAACAACAGTGCTCTGTTGCCAAAGTCTGGACTTATCAGCAGCCTTTAGGAGGCAATTCCTAGGCAAAGAGGAACAAGGCCCATGTTCCTTCCTGGCCACATGATGGCGAACTTACTCCATTTACTGGCAACACAGGTGCCTGTGGGGAATGAGGAGTCAGGCAGCTTTAGGAAAGAAGTGTTTGTTCAAAGTCTTAACTCCACCCCACCCCAAGATGTGAGGCCCCAGACAGTGGTGTGGAACTGATAGACTGGCTGCTGCAGGAACTTCCCCACTAAGAAAATAGTCTTGTCTTTTAGCATGGCACTCAAAAGACGGGAGAAGTTCAGCATTATTAGTGACATACTAAGTATGCTCTGGCCTCTGGCCAGCTGTCCTACTTTGTTCCTCTGCTGCTGTGATAAAACACTGAGCAAAGAAATTTGACGAGGAAAGGCTTTTATTTCGTGTTACAAGTCCATCATCAAGGGAAGCCAAGGCAGGAACTCAAGGCAGGATCCCATGGAGGCAGGAACTGAAGTAGAGACTGTACAAGAATGCTGCTAACTGGCTTGTTCTCCATAGCATGCTTAGCTTGCTTTCTTACACATAATATCCAGGTACACCTGCCTAGAGTTAAGACCACCTGTCTCTGTGATCTCGGTGATTTCTCATCAGTAATTAAGCAAGGCATGCTCATAGGCCAGCTGTTCTCAACCCATGGGTCACAACCCCTTTGGGGGTCCCATATCAGATATTTACATTACTATTCACAACAGTAGCAAAATTGTAGCTATGAAGTAGTGACAAAAATAATTTTATGGTTGTGTCACCACAATGTGAGGAATTGTGTTAAAGGGCCACAGCAATAGGAAGGTTGAAAACCACTGCCATTGAGCTATCTGATGGAGATAGTTCCTCAATTGAAGTTCTGTCTCTCATGATTCAAGTTTGTGTCAAGTTCACAAAAACTACCCAAAGTAGCCAAAATAACACTCCTTATGAACACCTGTGTAGCTTAGTTCCAATTAGTAAACAAGAGTACTGTGGTTCTCTTTATAGAGAATATGCATATAGCTGGGAGGAAGCCAGTATGCTATGCACAGATGGCTCGGGTGGAAATTCACTATGGTGTCAATTAGTCTCAAGAGATTAGAATATCACGAAATACGAAGAAGGAACAAGTGTTTATTGAACATTTACTTTGTGCTCAGCACTTTGTTAGGCAATGGATATAGTCTTTATCCCTTTTAACAATTGTGTGTTATCATTGGCACAGGTGCTTGGAGAGTTGAGGTAGCTTGTCTACATCCCACAACTAATTAGAGGCACTTGGATTCATGTTGAGTTATGTCTGACACCCAGGCTCATAGCCATAACATCCTCACCACATCCTTACCTACAAGTATCTAATACACAGTGCACCTTTGGAAGTCCTGAATCTGGACTGTAGCCAATCTGAGAGTGCAAGGGTAAAGGGCTGCATTGTCTAAACCTGTCTCCCTTCATTTGTTTCTGTCTGTAGACACTCCATGGTGCTCCCCCATCAAGGTGAAGTATGGGGATGTGTACTGCAGGGCCCCTCCAGGGGGATACTATAAAACGGCCTTGGGAACCAGGTGTGATATTCGCTGCAGGAAGGGCTACGAGCTTCAAGGCTCTTCTCAGCTGATCTGCCAGTCAAACAAGCGCTGGTCGGATAAGGTCATCTGCAAACGTGAGTAGACCAGACGACCTGTGCTGAGTCTTCAGGGGCAACACTGTTTTTCTACGAGATGAAGCTTTTCACTGGTGATTTTTAAGCCAATTGATTTCCCTGTTATAGCATAAGAGTGTGTGCTTCTTTTGGAAAGAAGGGTATGGTGCACTTTTGGGGGAAAGAGTGTATGAGACTTTCTCCAGCACACTGGTGATATTTGTTCAGTAAATACAGGGTTCTAAAACATTGCTGGCGATTTAGAAACAATAAGACACTTTTAGGGCTTGCCAGAATACCACAGAGGTAACTGGGTAGAGGTGAAAGTCATGGGATAGATGTAAGATGCCCCTGGTAGTAGATTAAATAAAAGGAAAGTCAGGAAAAACAAGTGTTCTGAGGAGTGGGACTTGGCCTTGCAAGGAAAACTCACTAAAGAAGTGGTGCTTAATCTGTGTGAGGGAGTGGGTCCGGGAAGAAGTTGATGCTGCATTTCAGGGGCAATGTATTAAAGATGGTTTGTGTAGTTCCTTGCTTGCTGGCTAACTCTGGAAGTAGGCAGACTGCTTTCAAGACAAGTCCAACTACATTAAAACTGTAGATGGTACAGCATTGGTGAAGCCCGTTTTTGACACATTTATTATGCAAAGTTGCCATCCCTTAATGATTTCCCAATGTTTTCCAAGTATTTAGCATACATTCAAGTTTTGCTCAGTATATGCGAGATATGGTTGGGGAAACTGAGGCTCAGGATTGTAGTCATGTGGTCTAGAATATGTAGATGATATAACTGGATCTGTGTAGTATACACTTAGCAATGTTTCCCTGTGTTCTAGTTCCTGCTAGCTTCCCCACATTCTGAATGCCTTGTTTTTTTTTTTTTTTTGTTTTTTTTTTGTTTTTTGTTTTTTTTTCCTAGAACTGGAACATGAGCCCAGGGCCTGGCAAATGCTCGGCAGATCTGCCACTCAGCTATATCCCTAGCTTTAAAAACAAACAAACAAACAAACAAACAAAAAACCTTTTCATTTTGAGGTAGGATCTCAACAAGTTGAAAGGTTGATGGAAACTCAGTTTGTAGCCCAGGCTGGTTTTGAACTTGCCATCTTCCTTCCTCAATGTAAGGTATCTGGGTTTGTAGGTCTGTGTCACAAGATACAGCCACTCCTGCCCACTTCAGCTTTCTTTAGAGAAGAAAAAGAAACCTCTTACAGAAAACTCTTTCTTCCTCCTGTTTCTCTACCTTCCTTTATTTGTCTATTTATTTATTTTGGTTTTTGATACAGGGTTTCTTTGTAGCATTGGAGCCTGCCCTAGAACTAGCTCTGTTGACCAGGCTGGCCTTGAACTCACAGAGATTCACCTGCCTCTGCCTCCTGAGTGCTGGGACTAAAGGCTCTGCCTCCTGAGTGCTGGGACTAAAGGCGCACACCACCACCGCCGGGCTTATTTATTTTTTTGGTTGTTTAGCTATTTATTGTCATCTAAGAAATCTTGCCTTAGACTCCTGCATCTTGGAATTACAAGTGTGAGCCACCAGCCCAGCTTTTATTTGTTTGTTTGTTTGTTTATTAATTTATTTATGTATTTGTACAAGGGAAAGTCTCTCTCCTATAGATAGTCTGTCCAATGACTGAGTGGTAAAGGATGGTTCCAGGTGTGAAGGCTGAATGGGAACTGCCATCTTCCCTCCAGGCTGCCCCTGAAGAAGCAAGCTGAGGCTAGCTGCTATCCACCACCCTCTGCTGGTGCCCTCATCTTTATCCTGTTTCCCCATTTTTTCACTGTCTACCTTTCTTCCAAAAGTGTTAGCATGCAAACCCTTCTCTCAGGCTTTGCTTCTGGGGAATGGTGTGGCTAGGATGCCAAAGCCACCTATTGTGATGTGAAACTTAATGTCTTCTGTGTGGCATAGAAGGAGTCATTGTTTAATGTCACATGTTATACTCCAGCAAACTCTTCCCTGCCTGTTTTCAGAGTGTCTAGATTCTGAACTTGTGAACAAAAACTAAGAACCATGGAACATCTGATTCTTTCCATTTCAGAAAAGCGATGTCCTACCCTTGCCATGCCAGCAAATGGAGGGTTTAAGTGTGTCGATGGTGCCTACTTTAACTCTCGATGTGAGTACTATTGCTCACCAGGATATACATTGAAAGGGGAACGGACAGTCACGTGTATGGACAACAAGGCCTGGAGTGGCCGACCAGCCTCCTGTGTGGGTAAGAAAATGTCACAGGCCTCAGGGGCCATATCTTGTGAGAGGAGCAGTGGTCTTTGTTGGTACAGTACACACTAACGGCAACAACATGTTTGCAATCTAAATAGCCAGCATTGCATTCAGTAGCTCCTTGGCTCCTAGGCCCAGTCCAAGACCCCAGTCTCTATCTTAGCTGACTTTAATGAAGCCTGCTTCCAGCTGACCTTTGTCAGTTCTTAGACCTGCTGCTATCCTTCCTGAGAACTGATGAGAAATGTGAATTCTCATGTCCTTCTCTACTTCTTGAATTTAAAATTCCAGAGGTGGGCCTCAGCACTTTGCATTTTGGAGGCCCTCTAGTAATCTTAAAGTATTCAAATAGAGGGCCACAAATACCAAGTTCTGATTCTCAAATTTTCAGTGCCTGGGAATTTTCTAGAGACCTTGAGAAAACTGCAAATTTGAATTTAGTAGGTATTGGGAGCCAGGCTTAGGAGGATTGGTAGGCAGAGTTTTCGCCAGGAACACTGGCTCTAAAATATAAACACAGAGATTTAATATTAATTAAAAATGCTGGGCAAATAGCTCAGGCTTATTTCTAGCTAACTATTACAACTTAAACTAACCAATTTGTATGAATCTTCATTCTGCCAGGTGGCATTACTGCTCTTTCAACTTGTACCTCCTCCTGTTTCCTCTCTGTGTCACTGACTTGACTCCACCCTTCTTTTTACCAGTGTCTGTAGTCTGATTTTCCAGCCTAACCTTATCCCGTCCAGCTATTGGCCAGTCAGTTTATTTATTAAAGCAATCACAATGTCATATATTCATCCCGTAAGAGAAGGTTTCTGAATCTTGGAACAGCAGACATTTGAGGTCAGACAATTTTATTGTGGTTGTTTACCCTTGGCACCATGTGACATCTAACAGTGTTCTTGGATTTTAACCCACTAAGTGCATAGTGAAAATATCCCCAAGCTCTGGCCCCAGCCTAGTTGTGGCTATCAGAGATGTCTCTAGACATTTTTTTCAGTGACTCTGGGGAGGAAAAATAACACTTCCATTGACAACCACTTGCCTAGGCGCGGTGGATTCTCACCATTGCTACTTGTAATTGCCCCCTGGGTACCCTTTGCTGAAATAGCTTAGAGATTCTGATTCAATTAACCCAACGAAGAGGCAGCTGGAGGAAGCCAATGGTTCTAAAAGCGTCTCAGATAATTTTACTGCTGGAAATCTAGGATCACTCTCTGAAAGTAGCATTAGAAAATCCCAAGGAAAATGCAAATTCCCTGCCCACCTGAAATGGACGAGCTTAGAAACTCTGGAGTTGTGCCCAACAATCTGCTTCCATGAAAGCCAGCAAAGGTAATTCTGATGTGAGCTGAAGTTGGAAAACCTGCTTTAGGAGTTCAAATTTAGGAGGGAGTTTAACATCATTCTACTCAAAAATACTGTCCTTGGATCAGATGCATCAACCCCAGGAAGAAGACTGCTGGGTAAACAGAATCACGAGATCCCCACAGATGTAGAAATCCAACTTGGGAGTCTGGTATTTCATTAGACATTGAAGCACCCAGCTCTAGGGAAGGTTTTTCTGCCACTGGAGCCTGAATCTCTGAAGTGCTGGTATTATACTGAAGTTCCTCTGCAAGTGGTTGTCACAGAGCATCATTTACTCCTAAACTGTGGGCGCTGCCAAGTCCTGCCCTTGGAGAACATGAAAACGCAATCTCACATTGTTTTAAAATGGATTTTTATACATTCTTTGAGAATTACATACAATGTATTTTGATCATATTTACCCCAAACTTCCTACCCACCCCCACTTTTCTATAGATAAGAGCTGAGCATAGACTAGAAGAGCAATAACAGAGAAATAGTAGTGTCAGCCACAACTTCCATATAATTGACACCATGATAGATGAGAAGGAAAATCTCAGGAGGTAACCATTGAAGGTGCTACCACAAATATAGTGGCTTCTACTGCCTTCCTGGCCTCTATCTCAACTCAGTGAAACCTGTGTGGTACCCAGCTGACAAAGGAATCTACACAAATATTGTTTTAAGATTTAGTGCTGGCCCTAAAGGGGACAGTATGGCAAAGCAGAGTGCCAGAAAATATTTGGCAGAAGCACCTTTCTCTGAAGATGTGGCCTCTACACTGCTCGGCGAAGATGGATAGAATGTGCTGGGGGTGGTAATGAGATCTGGACATGACAATCACCAAGTCCCCATGTTCAGAGCAGAAGGGCACCTCACAGATGCTATCTTTGCTATGGATCTTCATGTGCTTTGCTGTGTTCAAACTAACTCTTGAAAACAAACCAAAGAAAATCAATCAAATATCTTGTACTGGAGGGAGCAGAGGTCACGGTGTAGGAGAGGAGAAGCCCGGAACTCTTTCTGCTAAGCAAGCTTTGGCAGAGCACTCTGGGGACATATTGTTCAGATTTCCAGATTTTGCACAACAATGGAAAGAAAAATGCTGATTGTTCTCAAAAAGCAACAAGCATGTCTAAAGCCAGACCAGATGGCCCTGGAACTTGCCCAGAGGGTGAGGGAAGGAAGGAAGTATGAAATGAACCCCAATTTCAGGCAATTTAATCTACCGTTTGTTGAGATAACTTCAAAGTATATTGGAAGAATGGGAATTGTGTATGCAACTAGGTGGTAATGGGAAATAGGGTGCAGGGTATCCAAGAGCTTAGAATTCCAAGGTAAATGAAAAGAACAGACAGAGTAGGCAGGCACTGCTTTCTGTGACTTCAGTGACAGACAAACTTGAGTTTGTCGCCAGTGAATATTGCTCCAAAACTATCATTACTTCTTTGGCTTCATTAATAAGTTTTGCTTGTGAACTGGCAGAAATAGGTCTCCCTGAGCATAACTCAGAGCCTCAGCCTATTTTAGGAGCTGACACATGGCCCTTGAGTTGTTTCCAGGTTTCCACACAACCTTAAACAGCACATTTTGGCCCAAACTGCTGAGTGATGAGAAAGCTAACCCAGTTCTCTTGCAAACTGGGAGGGAATGGGAGGACTGGGCTTTCTTTGACTCCAAGGTGGTCAGTTCTGAGGTCTGGCTAATTTGTAAGTGCCACAAGTCAAAATTATTTCTCTGTCTCAAACTAAAGTCAAGTTCAGGTATTTAAGAAATGAATAGGGTCATATGAGTGGAGGGAAGGCATACTATAAGCCGCAGGGGAATGAAGTTCAGAGGCCCTTTCCTCTAGTGACTGACACTAGCATTGTATACTGAGATATTTTAATTTCTGTCAGTTTTCATTTATTTGGTTTTCTAGCACAATGGACAGTAAGAGTGAACACAAATCCTCATTAAGAGAATTCATTTTAAGTAGATGCACCTCTCTAGTATGGACCAAAACATTTTCCTTCTCCAAAACAATAAGAAAATAAACCAGATTTAAAAGCATGGATGATGAACATTTAAACATTTAAATGCCTTTTGACATGAAGAGAATCCCCATTTTGTTACTTTAACAAGGGACAATGTACAAACCAGCCTGGTTGTTGGAATTCATCTCTTTTTGATATTTTCTACAGAGTAGAGTGGACAGTGATTCATAACACATATTTTAAATCCAGGAGTAAAATATATCTTTGAGACATGAGATATGGAAATTTATCGCAAAAAATTTGCTGTCTGATGGCTTGGTTTAATCAGTGACCCATGGAGATATTTGTTGGGCTTCAAGTCATTGTCCCATTGCTACAAAATACCAGCAGGTTGGGAATAAATGCACCACTCCATTGTTACAGATTATTTTATACGATTTTTTCTAGGCTGGTAAATACACATACCATCAGGAATATGATACCAGTTTTACATCTGCTTGGTTGATGGAAATACTGGCCCCATTTTTGCCTCATATGATTTACCACTGTCACTGAACAGGCAGACTTTCAGCGAGTGATCTTCTCTAATGAGTTTATGGTCGGGCACCTTTGGCTGTGGTGCTTGCTCTTTGCTTCTCTTCTTGTTTCTGGAAAGTTCCTTGAAATCTTGTAGTGCCAAATAGATGGAACCACTTTCCAGAGGCATCCACAGGGATTGTCCTCTGGCTGGAGAAAGGCAAACAATTGAGCAAGTTTTCAGAGACAAGTTTTGTTCTGCCCTCGGCACTCATTTGCTTCATGTGCCCCCACTAAATAAATTGTTTCTGGCCTCCATCACCACTCTCCAATTCTTTTTAAAAATATCCTTTTATTTGAAATACAATTGCATAGTTTAACCCCTCTATTCCCTCCATCCAGCCCCTCCCAGGTACATTCTCTCCAGTCTTCAGACTCTTATGTTTGTCTCACTCATCTGTTGTTGAGTAACAGACTGCCCAGAACTAAGTGGCTTCAGAGAACTCAATTATTAATCAAAGAGACACTGTGGGCTGGAAATTTGGGCAGTGTCCCACAGGGATGGCTACTCACTGCTATCTATAACGGCTCAGGTGATAATGATTAAGGGACTGCAGGATCCAAGATGGAACTCCTGCACATATAAAACACTAGGCTCAGGAAATCTATATTGACTAGAGACTGACTGAATCTCAGTATTTCCCCTCTTTGTTTTCTTACCACCCACTGTGACCCAAAACCATTTGAATTGCTTTACTGTACAACTGCCTCCAAATTAGTGGAATCTGAAGGTGTCAGAGTCAGATACAACAGCCTAGGTTTGAAACTGACAAAGAATTTTTGAGTTTATTGTTAGTTGTTGACCAAGACATTGTCCCTATGACTTTCCCTTATTTCACACATCTGTCTGGTAAAACGTATTATAGTTCCTGGGTAAATAGTTCTGTTGCCAACATTGATACATCACAGTATCTCTGATTATTGTATCTTCTACTCAGAAAGGAAACTTGAATGCAGAGAAGGGACACGATTTGTCAAATATTTCCAGTGAATGGTACAGGGAACAGAGAACAGGAGTTTCACAGAGGCTTCAGGATTTCCACACAATAACTGACTTTGTAGGCATCTGTACTTCAAGGGGAATAGTAATTATATTTCTATAGTAACTTTTTCCACTTTATTCATGAAATGTATCATAACTATAAGAAGCTATGGTGTCCATGAGTAACTGGGAAATAATAAGCTAAGTTCCCCAGAGTACTAGCATCCACAGCCTGGTCTTATCAACTGAGATAGAGGACAGTTGCTCAAGGAGGATCTAGAATCCAGTTTTTCTGATGCTCTTTGAGGATTTGAATGGAAGCTGTGGTAAACTGTCTCAAGAGAATACACTTAGAAGTTTGTATGCAAAAACCAGGTCAACAACACACAGAGGGGGGAAGAACCTGAGTTCTTAAAACATGGAATGGTATATTTAAATACCAGGACACAAGGAACTTCTGAGAGAGAAGACACATTTTCCAGTTTATAAATGGGAATGCTAGTAGCATTATTTAGTTGCAAACTTAGTACTTAACATTAGGTGTGAAAGTTCAGTGAAGTCATGGAGATAGCACTTAGGCTGGCATGGGCACATAGGGTTCATACAATATTGCTCCCTATATGGTATGACTTATATTTGTTTCATGTTTGGAGAACCTTTCCTTTTGAACAACTAGGCCACTTTTGACTGGCCATTGTTAGGCAGACAAAAGCTGCCTTTGGGAAGCTCCGAGACTCTCCCCACTCCCAGATGACCTACTTTGGAGTGTGCTTGCACTGTCAGCTCACCAAGCAGACACAAGTAAAACAGACAGTGTATCATCCACATTAAGTTTACCTGATATAGAGTCCAAGAATCTTCACTTGTAAATGACATGGAAATCAGTAATCCATCCTCAGCCCCTCTTCTTCAGCTTTACCTTTTATGTAAGCATAATTTATAGAAAGCAGTTACCAGCTAGCTCTGAGCAGTGGAAAGCAGACATTCAACAATTGTCTGATTCACCCAAAACGTTGAAATGCTTGCCTGAATTATGAAAGCATGTCTTCTATTTCCTAGCATAGTAATAAAAAATGATTATTTTAAAGAAATTAGCAACCTCAATTTATTTCGGATAGATTTAAGTGTATTTCATATATTTGTGACACATATACATTATTTTATTAGTTTTTAAAGCATAGTTTTCATGTTTTAATATCATTGGAACTGGGATACATCTTATATATCATGACATAAATAAAACAAAATATGCTATTAAATTTAAGATCAGTGTAATAAGGCTGCAAATTCACAGTCCATTGAAGCATAACATAGAATAAAAGCAAATTTGGATAAAAAGTATTCAATGTTTATTATTTCTTATAGTATATAAAATGAGCAGTCCTTGGATAAGATACAGGGAAAATACATGGAGGCATTTACTTCATGCATTCAGTCTGGGAGATGTGATTCAGTAGCAGAGAAGACATTAAATGTTTGCCCAGATTGTAATAGTATTTAGATAATTATTGGTTGGTATGTAAAGCAATGCAAAGCTGACTGCCACATGCTACCTTTAAATACATTCTCAACCTCCTTGACATCAAGGAGAACTGGTAAAACTCCCAAGTTCCTCCTATGCCTTCACTTCAACTTTGATTACAGGTAATACCACCCAATGTAGAATTGACATTTCACTAACTTCCAGCCCTCATTATCATCCCATCTTGATAATGAGGGGGTGAGTAATTAAAATATTGCACCCAAACCCTGGGGGTCTCAGTGTGAACACATATAAACAGAGAAGTGGTTCTACTACATATCCATGGCCTCCATGTTTGTGGTTCTCTGCTATCTGCTATATGTAATTTTTGGTGAAATTAGCACCCTAATCCACTGTAAAACCTCTTTTAGCATCAGATTCACTTTCACCTCAAATGCCAGAATTTGGAATGACAGCCTTCGATAAAGTTGACACTCTTGAAAGATGTGGTGCATTGAGTTGAATCACAGCAGGTGATAGTGTTCATACATTTGCTTGGTGTTCAGCAACACTATCTTTAAACCAGGTAGTGTCGCTACAACTGAATGGCTTCTGGCTTTAGCTACTGTGCTGTTGCCAAGTCAGTATGCAGAGTTAGGAACTATATACCGAGTACATGCAGCAATGGTAGAGAATGGCAAGTTTGTTTTTGTGCAGGTGAGTTCTAAAAGGTCTTTAAAACTCAACAAGAGGGAAAGGACAGGATGAAAGGACAGATGAGAGATCCAGCAGGAACAATCTCTTTGGAAACAGCAAGTGTCTAAAGGTCTTGTTTGTCAGAATTTGAGTGTTGACCACCAGTTTAATAAGCCATTTCTTGGTTGGGTTATGTTTTCAAGATATGGAGCCTCCAAGAATCAAGTGCCCAAGTGTAAAAGAACGTATTGCTGAACCTAATAAGCTGACAGTCCGGGTGTCCTGGGAAACTCCAGAGGGAAGAGATACAGCGGATGGCATTCTTACTGAGTAAGTGAAACTTGGCAACTGGAATGTTCTCTCTCTCTCTCTCTCTCTCAACATACTAAATAGTTTATTTGTACATAAAAGCATAACATACATAGTATTTATAGTTTGTTTATTGTCTGTCTTTACTACAATACATTCAGTACCTTAGACCTAAAGGCATATAATCAGTTCTTAGATTTCTGCAACAGTTGAGTCTTGTATAATAAATTCGAAACATAAAATTTCAGATTACCATGTGACCCCTTTTTTCTAAAAGCTTTTCAGTTTTGTGGAGGATTTGCTGCTAGGGTTAGAATTATGATGTTTAATAAAAGGACCGTAGTGGCCCCTCACCCCCTGTTTAGTGCAGCTGTCTGTCTCCAGAGTTCAGCAGTTTAGACACAGTCCCACAGACTTGGAGCAGGGTACCAGGAGGAAGGCACTGTGGTAGCATGGGTTCAGAGAAAGCTGACTTGTCTCCTGCACAACTCATGTTTGGGCTCCTTGCCTTCCTATCACATAGCCTATGACTTCCCTCCCCAGTATCTAGCCCAAGCTACTTCAACATGGTCTGCATCTGAGGGAAAGGGGATAGTGGCAAGCTCTTACATGGGCATTTCTTTTGAGTCCCCTTGATGACTCCTGTGATTTTCATAATGAGATGGAGTCTCAGAGAAGTGAGTAGCCACTCTTATTTGAAAGATTACTCTTTTCGGGCTCATCTGAATTTACATGTGCTAATCAAGGATCTTAAGATCTGAAGGCATTTAAAGTCCAAAGTGTCACCTCTGAGTGATGGAATTTCCTGTGACTTTCCCAAGATTTCCCAATTTGCATGCTTTGTTAGCATGCTTCACATATGTGTAGTATGTTCCCCAATGGTGACAATGATAATTTCACATGGACATTGTCATCAAGTATCATCATTTCTAAAATCTGCAGTGAGAAAGTCAGTTTCCTATGCATTAAAAAACTAACCAAAAGCTGTCATTTGATTAGGTTATACCAACTAGTGTGGTCAAATAGCTAAGAAGATAGACGCTATAGTCACCCCTTGCTGTGCAATCTTGGCCAAGTTCCTTAGCCTTTTGTTGCCGTAGTTTCCTTTCCTGCAAAATGAAGACTTCTACTTCCCTAGTAGGAATTCTATGGGAATTAAATAAAATAGTAAATAATAAACCATGCCTGATACACGTACGATTTGTATAAAGCAGGTGACAAATTTTGCTTTTACTAACGTAGTATTAGGATAGTCAAGGGTTCACAGAGAATTTACCATTTGCTCAGAAAGGGCTTCACTGATCCAGATAGAAGAAGCAAAGAATATTCTAGTACCTGTTGTAGACCCAAATTGCCAAATGGCCAACTGAACTGGATTTTGCTCATAAAGCATTGTGTTGTCTTCCCAACAGGGAAGTCATGCAGACTCGTCCCCCAACCCCTATTCTATCCTTCAGTAACAAACCAAGAATGAACAAAAGAATTGCGAACCTCACCTTAGCTAAGGTCAAGCTGGTCCCATGACATGGAGGGACGTTCAGGACACATCTCCTGGAAGACCCTCTGTCTGTTGTGTTTCAAGGGCTCAGATGCTGCTCAGCAGCAGCGCTTCCCTCTGTCCTGTGCAGACTCAGAGCTCAACAGCCGCTCTTTAGGTACACAAGCATAATCCTGCATATTTCTGCTTCCTTCCTTAAGTGTTATTCTAAAAGGCCTCCCTCCAGGCTCAAATTTTCCAGAAGGAGACCACAAGATTGAATACACAGTCTATGACAGAGCTGAGAACAAGGGCACCTGCAAGTTTCGAGTTAAAGTAAGAGGTGAGATTGTTGCTTCCTGATGACTGCCAAAGAAAGATGGACCAGGTCCCCAAACCACAGTGTTCTGGATGCACCCTGTAGTAGGGCTACTACCAGCTTTGGATGAGGCTTCGGTGATGTGGAGGGAAGCATTCCATCTTAATGGCAAGATTTCAGTATGGGTCATGTAGGAAACAGGTCTAGTTCCACAGGAGCCCAAATCTGTCTGTCTAAGAAAACTACCACTTAATAATTTTTCCATCTCTGAGTTAATATCTTCCATAACTGTAGTGAATAAGCAGAGTGATTAGGAGTCTTTCAGACTTTTGGTTACCTGAGAAAATATTTTTTGAAAACTTTGTGTTTCATAGTTTGGACAGGCAGTCAGTATCATTTGCTATTAAGGGCTCAGGCTCTTCATCTGTAGCATGCTAACACCACTATCTCAAGGGTCCATCCCATTGGTGTGGATGGTGACCATTATTGACCATTAGGGAATAGTCACCCTAACCTCCCACTCATTTCACTAGTTGACTTATAACTTCATGACAAACCTTGGGCCTCACCTTCTCTGGTTACTTTATGGAAGAGTGTTCAAGGCTAAGGCTACTCTGGGTTTGTGTCCCCTACAGTCAGACGCTGTGGCAAACTCAATGCTCCAGAGAATGGTTACATGAAGTGTTCCAGTGATGGTGACAACTATGGAGCTACCTGTGAATTCTCCTGTATTGGTGGCTATGAACTTCAGGGTAGTCCTGCCCGAGTGTGCCAGTCCAATCTGGCTTGGTCTGGCACGGAGCCCACCTGTGCAGGTACGTGTGCAGTTCTTTCTCCAGCTAGCATCAGAATCTGAAACCCCCTGATTCCAGAGCAGGCAAAAGCAGCCTTATTTCCTGCACATCATAAAGTTCAGTGTCATCTCTGCCCATCTGAGTGGGTAAAAAAGGTACCAAGCAGCTAATCTCACCTATCTCCTTGTTTTGCTTTTGCCTGTTCTCTGATCCCTGCTATATTAAGAAACAACCTGGAGGCCAGACCTCAGGGCCAGCCTTTAGTGACATTAAGCTGTTTACTTACTTTTCTCCCTCCACTTTAAAACAGGAGGAGGATTGAATTTTCAATGCTAGTACACTGCTGTGTTTAAACAGCATAATTCCTGCCTTGCATCATTGGCTTGAATGTCATACATATCTTGGGCATTTGAAATCCTTCCTCCTGTGTAGAATGAGGAAAGTCACACCTCTTCTAAATGTGATCATCCACTGAATGCTACAACAGAGCAGTTCCTGGTACAGGGTAAGCCTTCAACTCATGCCAGCAGTTCTTACTGTTAAACACCAACTGAACTAGGCATAGCTGAGAGTGTAAAATCTAGGCTGCCTAGGAAACTCTAGACCAATGTTTTATTTATATGCTTCCCCTGTTCTTGATGCCAGATATTTTTTCCTTTGTCCCTTCTTTAACCCTATCATTCAGAAAAGATGGATGAAACTCTTCAATTACATACATTGAAGCACATATGTCTCAGAATCCTCAGCTAAGTATTTACTGTCCATTTTTGTGACACTGAGGCATGGAGTATATTGTTAAATAATCTCATAAATCTATATAACTACTAGCCATATATGGGAATGAATCACTTGAAATAAGTCCAAATTCAGGTATGTTGTCCGTGTAAAATATACACCAATTTAAAAGTCTTAGCACAATAAAGAACATAAAACATCCCTATTTTTTTGTATTAGTTGCATGTTGACATATTTGGATATGTTGGGTTGACATATAAAGCTATTGTCACATATTTGTTTGTACATTTATAATGAAGCTACTAGAAAATTTTAAATTGTACAGTTATATAAATATATTTCTATTGAGCAAGGCTATTCTAGACTGTGAGCCCCAAAGGCAATGTTAGAGATAACTGCCTCTCATTCAGACAAGTAGCCCAGAAGTTGACACATAGCTGTCACTCAGTGTAGTTGACCAAATGAAAATGTAAATGAAAAATGATTTTCAAAGCTAACTTGAAGTTTAAAATAATAGCACCAAGTTCATAAAACAAACATAGTGTGCTCTTATTTTTCTTCCGTAATTTCTTTTTCAGGGGCCAGACTGTTTGCTGCTTTGTGTATTGAGCCAACTTTTCAGGGCTGTTTGTCATTGATCAGTTTCCATGAAAGAATAACTAAACTGAATTGATTCATTTTCTCCGGGACCATATTGAAAGAACAATGAATTTATGTTAGATTAAGCAACTAAGTTCAATGGGATTTGTTACATCAGCAAGAGAAAACTGGGGCACCTTGTCTGTCTATTACTGGTGCTTCATGAACTCACTTCTCAAACCAACCACTTAACATTTGACTTCTCATCTCAGGGTCTACTGAGGGTTTTGTATATGCCTGGCCAAGTTAAGCCAGAACTTAGAGGGCTTTTGAACTTATGTGACCATTTCTGATTACAGCTATGAATGTCAATGTCGGTGTCAGAACAGCAGCCACCCTTCTGGATCAGTTTTATGAGAAAAGGAGACTCCTCATTGTGTCCACACCCACAGCTCGGAACCTCCTCTACAGAATGCAGCTGGGAATGCTGCAGGTGAGGCCTTGAGGCAGAGCTAAGGTGGGAGGGAGAAGCCCACTAACAGGAGGAAGACAGGCACTTCACTAAAAGCAAAGGCCAAAGTCAATGCCTAATCCATTTACGGTGGGTTTAAGGGACCAGCACTTTAGAGACAGTCATTCATTTCTGGTGCTGGCATATAACCTTATTAACATTGACTCCCCAGAGCTAACCCAATCATTCTCCAACCAGCAAGCTTTGTCTGTCTTTGCTAATAAGCTTAATTGGCATGTTGTCCAGGCCTAGCCAAAGAACAATTGTCTTTGCTGATCCTGTCCAGCACATTCATAGACTGGAGGTGATCAATCAGTTATCTTCCCAATAAACTAGCTAAGGAGACAAAAGGCATCCGAAAGCCTCAAGGGACCATATCTCTCCCTGGGAATTTCACCTACTCTAATAGAGAGGCTGCTACTAAATGAGACAATCAGCATGTTGGGGGAGGGTAGAGTTTGCAAGGGATCACACTAGCAGTTGCCTGTTGTTGTCTTGAAGTTGCATAGCAATGAGGGGCTAACCGCTGAATTCTAAAGAAGCAGGGTATGCTGCACTTCTTTTCTAGGATCTCTTGTTCATTTGTTCCTGTTAGAACAGTCTTGGTTTAATCAAAGGCAGCAGTTTACTATTCATGGCAGGAAAAATAGAACAAACAACAAATCTTTCTTTCATTATTCTTTGTCATCTGAACAGGTTGCCCATGAACTGTGCAGAGCCATATGAAATGTTTGGGTTACCTCTTGACAAGAACCAGATTCACTGAATCTGTATCATAAATCCCTATCACCTACTTGCTCTTGTATACCTCTGTCTCCGGGTTACTGTTGCTATGTTGAAACACCATGACAAAAGCAACTTAGAAAGGAATGGTTTATTTGGCTTATACTTCCACGTTCATAGTCCATCAATAAAGGAAGTCAGGACAGGAACGTCAGCAGGGCAGGGACCTGGAGGCAGGGGCTGGTGTAGAGGCCATGGAGTGGTGCTGCTTACTGGCTTGCTCCTCATGGCTTGCTCAGCCTGTTTTCTTTTTTTTAATAAATTTTTATTTAAATTACAAAAAATCTTATTTTACATACCAATCCCAGTTCACTCTCTCTTCCATCCTCCCATGCCTCTCACTAACCCTCCCCATCCCACCCCCAACCACTCCTCAGGGAGGATGAAGCCTTCCATGAGAGATCATTAAAGTCTGACACATCATTTGGGTCAGGACCTAGGCCCTCCCCCCACCCCACCCCCGTGTATCCAGGCTGAGAGAGTATCCCTTCATAGGGAATGGCCTCCCAAAGCCCATTTGTGCACTAAGGATAAATACTTGTTCCATTGCCAGAGGCCCCATAGACTGCTCATTCCTCCTAACTAACACCCACATTCAGGGGGCCTGGTTTGGTCCTCTTCTGGTTCGCCAGCTGTCAGGCTGGGGTCTGTGAACTTCCACCTGCTCAGGTCAGCTGTTTCTGTGGGTTTCCCCAGCAAGGTCTTGACCCCTTTCTTATAGAGCCTGAGACTACCAGCCCAAGAAGGGTACCACCCAACAATAGGCTGATTAATCACTAATTAAGAAAGTGGCCTATAGGCTTGCCAACAGTCTGATCTTATGGAAGAATTTCCTTAATTGAAGTTTCCTCCTCTCAGATGACTTTAGCTTGTGTAAAGTTGACATAAAACTATCCAAAACAACCCCCTTGCTCCTTATAAAATGCAAATGTATATACTTACCTGGTTTTATGGTCCTTGGCTTAGCAAAATGAATAAGCCAATAAATTTGCCTTTCTTCTATATCAGTAAACATTGGCTCATGACCAATTTGGCCTGTTGCTGCTGGGTTTTGCAAGCTAGATTTTTATTAGCCACAACTCCATTTTTTTCACCTGCATGTTGGTTATGACTACTTTTAGGTTGAAGTGATAGAACAGAATTCTTAGTTTACAAACCACCGAGTCACTGTAAACTTGAGTATTTCCTATCCGCCTCTGGAGAGATTTTTATAGCCCTCAACCTTAGCCCATCCTTGTTCCCTTGGGCTCTAGATAAACTGGCTAATTAGATAGTTGGCTATGGCATTTTGGATCTAGCTATTCTTATATTTTATCCTCTCACCAATGTATTCACACTCACCTTCAAGGAAGACTTGGTTGATTTAGTAATACTTGTGTTACTTCATATAGTGCTGTTGAAACAGTGCAGTATTTAAAATTATTTTTCCCATTCAGTCAGATTCATCTTATTTATCTTCTGTTAAGGTTTTTGGCTTTGATTGTCACTGCTACTCCTGGGGGAACCTCCTACCATGTAGTGGACTGAGCCACATCCCCAAGCTTCTTGCCAAAGGCCAATGAACAGCTCAGGAATTGTTTATCCTTGTTTTCTTGGGGTTTAGGTATGGGGAGCATAGGGTAGGGGTATGTGGAGGTTGGGTAATTAGTGAAAAAAAGGGAATTCTGGAAAATATTTTTTTTTCCGAGACAGGGTCTCTCTGTGGAGCCCTGGCTGTTCTGGAACTCACTCTGTATACCAGGCTGCACTCCAACTCACAGAGATTCACCTGCCTTTGCCTCCTGAGTACTGGGATTAAAGGCATGAGCCACCACCTCCCAGCTGGAAAATATTCTTAATTCCTTATAAGAATGAAGTTAGAAACCTCAGGGTGAGAATAGGGCTAAGGTCTTGGATGCTTTTTAGGATATTTGACTCAAGCAAAGTCTCAACAGGTCTAGAAGTACCTTAGAGTAAATATTATGTTTAGGTTTTGAAAATCCCATTGCCAGGTTGTTTTGTGTAATTCCACCAGAAAGGCAGTTTCATAGGCACCAGATTAGCCTTAGGTTTTTGGAACAGTTTGGAGTAAGCAAAGAAGCACCCACAAGCCCATTGCTGGGGTGCCAGTCTGCAGTGCCTTAGTTAGTCTCACACATCCCCTGTTGGTTCCTCCTCCAGCAAGCACAGTGTGGCCTGGATCTTCGACATGTCACAGTGGTGGAGCTGGTAGGAGTGTTCCCAACCCTCATCGGCAGGATCAGAGCAAAGATTATGCCTCCAGCTCTAGCCCTGCAGCTCAGGTAAGGGGGCCTTCTCCCCTTAAATTTCATTTCCTTTGAGTGCACTCGGGTCTCACCATGGCTGCATTTGTATCTGCCCAGGTTCTGTGACTTTTTTCTATTCAGTATTTAGTTCAGGCAACCTTCAGTACTTAATTGCTTTTATTCTGGGAGTATTATTATCATGCTGATTGGCATGTTCCTGCATGTTCAACTGATTTATGCAGTGGAAAATTGCTACTGTTTTCCCCCTCCAGCCTATTCTCTCTCTCTCTCTCTCTCTCTCTCTCTCTCTGTGTGTGTGTGTGTGTGTATGTGGGGGGGGTTAAAAGGAGAGGGGGACCTGAAAACCAAATGACCTAAGCAGCAGTCCTTGCTTATATTAGGACAGATACTAATAGGCCCTTTCAAGCTTGATCTTTTTTTTTTTTTTTGTCCATCTTTCCAGAGTACTTGTACATATCCTTGTTTCAACAATTGTATCTCTTCTCTTTTCTGACATACCAATAAAGCTAGAGCCCTGATATCAGACTTCAAGTAATGTATTAAAGTGAGATTTAACAGCTAAAAGGCAATTTCAGAATAACCTACATTTTTTTCTTGTATCTTTTGGCCACATTGAGATGGGTAATTAGGGTAAATTAACACTCCCTAAACGTCTTCCTTTCTTGTTACTGAAAGTTTCTGTTCTCAAGGCCCCAGAAGCCTCATTGTATTTTAGAGTCCCACATGGCTTCATCATCTTGTAGTTAACATCTGAGGCAGGCATATTCTTTCAGTTTTCTGAAAATGGGAACAAAGAAAGTAAAAGGAAACAATGGTATTAGTCAAGTTTTTATTTTTATATCAAAATATCAGAGATAAGTAAGTGCTACAATTGTCTCTTTTGGTCATAAATCTAAAGACTACAATCAGAGATGGGTGAAACCCATTGCTTCGAGTCCTTAGGGAAGGTCACCCGTCATGGAGGGAACATATGGTCATGTACACTGCTTATATCAAGAGCCATGAGACAGGGAGATAAAGAGACTAAGGTTTCATAATCCTTCTCTGGGAGAGGCCTCCAAATGGCTTAAAATCCTCATGGTAGACCTCACTTCTCAAAGAGTCTACCATCTTCCAATAGTGCCACTTAAGTAAGCCTTTAACATGTGAGCCTTTGGAGGACACTTACCACTCAAATTATAGCATACCTTTCTGTGTTTACACATTACTTATACCCCAGTCCATTGGCTAGAACTAATCACATAATTACAACTGAACTTGGAATGAGGCTGTGGAATGCAGTGGTTTGCTATTTTAATGAATACAATGAAATGGCATTTGGTAAATTCTACCAAAGGTGTTCAAATAAGTTCAAAAAAAATTCCCTAAGAGTTGTATATCACAGAGAGATGCCCTGGTTAGTTTTATGTCACTTTGAGACAATCTTACATCATTGGCGAGACAGAACTTGGAGACAGGAACTGAAGCAGAGGCTATAGTGGACCACTAATTATTGACTTCCTCCCATGGCTTGCTCAGCTTGCACTTTTATACACACAGGACCACCTGCCTAGAGGTGATACCACCCCCAATGATCTGCCCTCCCCACATTAATCATAAATCAAGGAAAGGACCCACAGGCTTGATACATTTTGTTAAGTGAGATTATCTCTTCTCAAATGACTCCATCTTAGGTCTAGATGGAAAATCAAAACAAAAAAAAAAAAAACCATAAAGACAAACAAACAACAAAAACACCTTTACATCATAGGCTTTTTCAATTACTTAAACAAAACTTGTTGCAGGGGACTGAAGTTTGGTGGATAAAGTGTTTGCCTCATAAACGTGAAGACAAGATCAGATCTTTAGAACCCAAATGAAGTCTAAGATGGCCTGATGGGCCTGTCTGTAACTCCAGCCTTGAGAACAGAGATAGGGATCTCTGGAGCAAGCTGGCTATCTAGATTAACCCTATCAGTGAGCCCTGAGTTCAATTGAGTGTCCCTAATTTGATGAATAAAATGGAGTCATTGAGGCAGTCTCCTGATGTCAACCTTGGGCTACCACATACACACATATGTACATGTTCCTGTACATAGATGGTATACTCACACACAAACAGACACATATATAACACATACATGTTCACACATAAAAATAAAATTTGTTCCAGAGTTTGTAAAATTATTTTTTAAGATAATAGATAGATGGTAGACACAGATATACACATACACTATAAATACATAATTTTGAGCTGTTTAAAAAAATGAAGAGCAGAGCTGACAAGAACCAAGGACAGCACTTTAATAATCATATTATTCTCAGAATTCTCTGGAAGGTGACCCAGGAAGAGTTCCTTCCAATATGATAATAGTCATTATGTAACTCAGAAATACTGTCAACCTTACCCTCAAACCAAACCCACAATCCATGAGGTACCCTATCACCCATCTCTGAGATGTTCGTGTTGTCTCAGCTCTAGTGGGACCTACTCCTATTGCTGTTGCTGATGTGACCATTTCTCTTCTCCCATGGCAGTTGTCCTTCCTTATATTCTATGTTAATCAAGGTACAGGAGTCCCATGAAAAATGTAGTCCCAGGGATGTTACCACTTTGGCCTCATAACTGTTATAAAACCACATGGGGCAGTGTTTCATCCATCTATCTTCCCTACAACATTGTTCAAACCTTTGTCCTTCCAGCCTTGCTCAGTTTCTCACTCCTCTGCTTTCCTGGAAGTCCCTTGTGCTTGAACTTACCTCAGATGCTTAGAGTATGGGATAGCTGGTGGAGGCAGTGTAGTCATCTTCTTTTGGATTTCTAGTCGATAGATATTGATTAGCAAGTTAGCTTTCCACTGTGGAAAATATTAATCCCCCCCCCACCATTTCACAGAACTGCTTCTTGAGAAGTACTCAGTTTATATTTTATGCAGATATATTTATTAGTTTTTCAAGTTACCATGAAAATAAATGGGTTTCATTAAGGCATTTTTGTACATGTATGCTATTATATTTTCTTCTAATTCATTCCCTATCTCTCACTGCCCTACTCATCTCACTTGCCTTTTCTTAAGAAAAACAAAGCAAAACAAACAAGCAAACAAACAAAAAAAACAACTTGGAGCCATTAATAAGAGGAAAATATCACTTTAAATTCACATGGCAGAGTATGTTCTGCCTGTTACATAACCTCAAACCATTTCAACTGGAACAAAAACCAGGAGAGGAGGTTGGGTTGCCTCATTATCTCAATGAGCTCAGCTGTCTGCTTACTTTCTCTCTTGGCTTTCTTATTTAAACATGCTGGTATTGCTACAAAACATCTACATAGATGAAATACATATGTTGAAAAAAAACACCACACAGTTGAAACCATGCCAGAATATTTCGAGAAATTATTTGTGGTACTAATTATATGCAAATAACTAAGAATGTCTGGGAGCCCAGACTGTTCTAATTGCATTCCTGAAATAGTCATCACTATATGTTTTAAATGTTACTTTAATCAAGTTTTCTTCTTCAGGATTCTTCAACCTTAGCTCTTTCAACATTTGAGGCTGGATTTGTCTGGTTAGATAGCTGTCCTGTGTACTGTAGAGTAAATTTATCAATATGTCTGACATTTATCAATTAGATGCTAATAGTATCTAACTCCCTTCTTAGGGCAACCAAACGTGTGTTTAGACAGGGCCAAATGTCCCAAGTGGTAATACTCTTGATGATATGCATCACTTTTATAGTTCTAACATCTAGCCTTGTTCTACATGCTGTGTACCAACTTTTGGTTTATTGTACTGTAGACAGCTTGAGATCTCCCAGACAATAATAATCTAAAGCAGAGTTTTTTTTCTTCTGAATAACACTTATCTGAAGGTATTACTAATAACATAGACTCTCATTTGTTAGGAATGAGTTCATACATGAACAAGTTCTTTCTGAGTAAGTTTTCATGTGATGCTATGGACCCAAGGTTCACACTTTGAGTAGTGGGGACATAAAAATGATTCAGTTTTTCATGGCATCCAGCATTTCTCTGCAATGTGTTACTAGAGGGCTTTGCTTGCCCCTAGAAGTCTTCGGGGTCAGGGTTTAACATAACCAATTCTTTTTGTTTATTCCAGGCTGTTGCTTCGAATCCCACTCTACTCCTTCAGCATGGTGCTAGTGGATAAGCATGGCATGGACAAAGAACGCTATGTGTCCCTAGTGACACCCATGGCTCTCTTCAACCTCATTGACACTTTCCCCTTAAGAAAAGAAGAGATGATCCTGCAAGCTGAGATGGGACAAACTTGCAACACCTGATGTGTTGTTATATTTGCGGTGGTTCCTCATCTCTTTTTACATAGAGCCTTACCTACTGCCTGTTTCTGGGAAGGCCTTAAAAATTCCCTTGATGTACAGATTTTCATTTGTAATTTTTAAAGTCTATTTTATTATGTGCTTTCTTTGCCCTTAAAAATTGGCACAATGTTTTTATTTTGTTTGTTTGATTTTTTGTTTTTTTGTTTTTTTTACTTTGAAATGTTTCACTTTCTAACTCTCCCTTTAGTCTATTGTGTCTGGTTAACTCTATAACTAGAAACTACAAAGACACATATGCACTTTTATTCATTGTGCAACACACTTTTCTTTCCTTATATTGCTTATATAACACTTTTGTTAATAAAATATTTTGAAGCAAACTTACTAAAACTCACTTTAAAAAAACAACCAAGTTTACTTGCTTCATGTGGTCAGTAGTTTTTTTTTTCTAATTTAATTTAGAATCAATCTTATTTTCCATATCAATCCCAATTCCTTCTCCCTCTCATCCTCCCATTCCCCTCACCAACCTTCCCCATCCCTCCCCACATCCACTTCCCAGTAGGGGTGAGTTCTTCCATGGGGGATCATCTTTGCTTATCACTCCTCCCTTTCTACAACTGGACTCCAGGAGTTCAGCTCAGTGGATCAACAGTTTTAAATGTGTGACTTTTTTTTTTTTTTTGGTTTGTTTGTTTAAGAAAGGGAAACTGCTGGAGAAACCCACAGAAACAGCTGACCTGAACTAGGGGAGCTCATGGACCCCAGTCTGATAGCTGGGAAACCAGCATAAGACTGACCCAGACCCTGTGAATGTGGGTGTCAGTTAGGAGGATGGAGCAGTCCATGGGGCCTCTGGTTCCTAGTATGTGAATGGATTTTGGGAGCCCATTCCACATAGAGGGACACTCTCTCAGCCTAGACACATGGGGGAGGGCCTAGGCCCTGCTCCAAATGATATGACAGAATTTGAAGACTCCCCATGGAAGGTCTTACCCTCCCTGGGGAGCAGAAAGGGGATGGGCTGGCGTTTGGGGTGAGGGACAAGGGAGGAAGGAGGTGAGGGAACTGGGATTGACAAGCTTGTTTCAAATTTAAATAAAAAAATCATCATTAAAAAAAAAAGAAAGTGAAATTGTATTCCTGACAAGGAATTGACTGAGATGGGAGAGAGCTAAGGCCCCAAGCGACAGTAGGGCTGAATTCTTGACTGCAACCCACCCACCAAGGTTTCTACTCACTGGTTGTACAACAGATCCCTTTGTGGGGAGGCCAGCTTTACTTAGGAGGCCTGCATTTCTATTTGTCAGTGGTTGAGCCTGAAATATCGCACCTTGGAATTTAATGAGGAGTTAGAGTGTACTCCCGGGCAAATATTTCCAAATATTTCTGGTCTCACTTTGGCCCGTAATCTATTCTTAAACAAAATAGTGAAATGATAGAAAGTCCAAATTCCAACATCTAGTGGCTTAAAGCAGGAGGGAGGTTGTGCAGTGTTTTCACAGTAGATTAGACGAAGTAAATACCAACCCTTGAACAGATTTACACTCTATGTAGAAAAATTGACTGTTTTTCTCCTGTATACTAAAAGTCACTGTTTGCCTGCTTTAAATGTAGCAGATTAAAGTAATAGCACAAATGGAAGTGGAATGCCAAATGGTGTTGGACTTCATACAGTAGCTTGTGCCCATGGGACAGTCTGAAAGGACCTTATTTGATTTATTCAAACCAGTCTTTCTGGTTACTTTGAAATATCATAACACTTTGACCCTCTCTATCAAATATACAGATTATTTGAAGATGGATGGATGACCTGTAATGATTTAAAATGAAACATTCTTCAAAAATACATGGGAAACATTTCAAAAAAGTTATCAATTGCTATCTCTAGAATGCAGGTTTCTCCCTGGATATCTCTCAGAATTTTTTTTTGAAGATTTATTTATTATGTATACAGTATTCTGTCTGCATGTATGCTTGCAGGACAGAAGAGGGCACCAGATTTCATTGTGGATGTTTGTGAGCTACCATGTAATTGTGGAAATTGAACTCAGGACCTCTGGAAGAGCAACCAGTGCTCTTAAACTCTGAGCCATCTCTCCAGCCCATCTCTCAGAATCTTTTAAATATACATTTTGAAATCCTAGAAAGAAACAACTAGAACTAGGGAGAGAACTCAGATCAGTTGGTAAAGTGCTTGCAGTGTCAACAGGAGGGCCTGTGTTGAAACTCCAGCACCCATGTAAAAAATATCAGGAAAGGAAGCTCACAGTTCTCAACCCCTGGCTCCCTCCTTTATGCTCTCTCTCTCTCTCTCTCTCTCTCTCTCTCTCTCTCTCTCTCTCTCTCTCTCTCTCTCTCCTCTCATCTATTCCTCCCCTGACTCAGTCTTCCTAGTCCCGAGTGCTTTCACATTCAGACATGCATATGTACATTTATACTTTCACAGACGGCATGAATATTCACACATGCAAACAACCCTCATTCTTGCTTGCTCATATGCTATGCTTTCACACATCTGTGTGCAAGAGAAAGAGTGGGGGGAACCTAAAATTTACACATTCTTTGGCACATATGTATAGGGGAAAAATAGCCATTTAAGTGAACTTAAATCAAATAGGAAATGCTGTCTACTCAGTACATAACAGCAGGAAATTGCCACTCAATTTTTTTTTTCATATTCACAAGCCTGCTTAGGATCTGTCCTGCCTCCCAAACCACACCTGGTGTTCCAGTGATCAATTAGAAATGCACACAGGTCATTTCATGTCAACTTAAAGTGGCTCAGTGAACACATTGGAAATTTACTGAAAGTCTATCCCACAAAAGTAAAAGCTAAGTCTGGTGATGAACTTGAAACAAAAGTTATGAAAAATGCCTACAACCAAACTTACACGATATCAAGCTAGTGAATTGTTTCTTTGGGTGCTCTGTGACATTTATTTTGAGAAAAGTATGCTTCTAGAACAAGAATGTAAAATGTGATACATTAGTTAGCATTTTAGAAAGCCTCTTCAATATCTGGCACCAAAGAAGCTAGCTGGGCTGTGGAGCTAATGTGTGGCCTCATAGTTGGCATTATGAAAAGATGATTTAAATAATTTTTACAATGTTTGGAATCCCTAGGAAGTATACTACATCTGACTTTACTAAGGGATTTTTGGAGGGGTGGAGCTTAAAAACACAAGGTATGCCAGTGAAAGAAGAAAAACTATGAAAGGCTCAAACATCATACCTGTTCCTGGTCTTTAACTGTACTTGGAATTCTGGTGGTCAACCATCAGTCTATTTTTAAATTAAAGCAGCTGAGTTAAAAGAGGGCAAACAGCACTGCTATATAATTTTATAAATACTGTTTTCTCCACAATGTGAATAAATATATAAAGAAGACAAAAGAGGAGCAGAAGAAGGAGTTCAAGGCTAGCCTGATCTACAGAGTGAGTTCCAGGACAGCCAAGGTCTCAAGATAAACCCCATTTCAAACAAACAAACAAACAAACAAAACCCCAACAAAACAAAACCAAAATGAAACAAGCAAAAAACAAACAAACAAACAAAACAAAACAAAAAAAAAACTTCTCCAACTTCCAAGGGAATGTTCATGTGCAGCCTGTGGTGGCAACCACTGTTCAGGGTGAAATGAGAAGATTTATGGGTAGAACTACTGATAGGAGCACATTTTTCCTTTGGAGAAACTATAATTAGTGCTTCTCTGCCTTGGACAATGCTTAATGTCAATACTGGGACTATGTATGCCTACAGTAGAATTATGCTTAACTCATTTAAAATGCAGCACTCATTTCTCCTTAGGAAAAAGGCACATGAATGTGGGAATCTAGCTTTTACAGTTATTGCTTGAAATAGTCTCACCCAGGTCATGTTGGCTAGGAACTGACTCTACCTCCTGAATGCTGTAAAGGAATACACATCATTCTTGGATTAGAAAATGCTGAGTATTGAACCAAGAGTTTTGTGTATGTTAAGCAAGAACTTGACCAAATGAGCTACATCCCCAAGTCCTAGATTTTTAAATCAGAATCGATTCTACTGGTGAGAGTATTTTGTGCAAATATGCTTCCATTACATAGTGTCAATTGTGAAGATGTACAACAGCTGACATTCTGCTTGAGCCAGAAAATAACTTAATTTCTTTATGTAGCATTTTGTAAATTTGGGGTTTTGCATCATCTCCTCTCCTCTACCATATCCTCTGCCTATTCCCTTCCCCATCTCTCCAGAGATGATACATTTCTCCACAGAAGGATGCTGAAAAGCTTTCACATCTGAATATAAATCAAATCTTTATCTTGCTAGGACATATCTTCCAATGTGTCTCTTCCTTTTGTGGAGTTCTGTTTGACCCTTGAGCAGGCTACTAGATGATTTGAACCAAGGATTGGCCTCGTGCAAGTCAGGTGAGTTCTCTATAACCAAACATATTATACAGCCACTGCTTTTTTCCCTGTTTATTTTTATGACATTCTCTCTCTAAATTCTCTAGGCTGTCCAAGAACTCAGTCTGAAGCAAAGATTGGCCTTGAACTTGAGCTCCTTGTGCCCCAGTCTCCTGAGAAGCAATGATTGTTGGCCTGTGCCCTAATATAAAGTATGAACTGCTAGGTTAAGAGGGAGAACTTCTTCTTCTTCTTCTTCTTCTTCTTCTTCTTCTTCTTCTTCTTCTTCTTCTTCTTCTTCTTCTTCTTCTTCTTCTTCTTCTTCTCCTTTTTCTTCTTCTTCTTTTTCTTCTTCTTCTTTTTCTCCTTCTTCTCCCTCTCCTTTTTTTTTTCAGAAAACTAGAAAGGGGAAAAATGTTAAGTGTCAACAATGTAGTCATCTGAAGGGACTGAGTTCCAAAACTTTCTAGACAAAAGCTTCTCACAGTTTGATCATCCTATTTGTTGCTGATCCCTGAACCACTTGTTATTGGTCATCAAGACAAGGAAGGTCTGCAAGATGACTCAGCAGATAAAACAGCTTTTTCACCAAGCCCAATGACTTGTAAGTTCAATCACTCCTTACATGTTGGAAAAAGAGAACTAATTCCTGTAAGTTATCATCTGATCTCCATAAGTGTGCCTTGGCATATGGCATGCAATAAAAAAAAAAATCTGAGAAAATAAGCTATTGAGCTTGCTCCAGAGAAGGTATTAGAAATGTCAATAAACATTACATTGTTACATTGTTCCTCTGGGAGTTTTGATAGCAAAGATTTCTTTCTTTTCTATTTTTTTTTTTGTTCCTGATTTTTTAAAATTTTTGTTAATTTAGAAACAATCATTCTACATATTAATTCCTTCATTCCCTCTTCCTTCCATCCTCCCATGTCCCCTACCAACACCCCCAAGCCATCCCCCACCTGCTCCCCAAGTATGGTGAGGCC